GCTCTCGTCTTGCGAAAGTGCTTTATGATGACATAGGCAGCACTTCCAAAGTAGGAAACTGTCAGCAGTGTGAAGTAGCCAAAGTAAACGAAAAACTGCAATAAAAGCAACATTTGTTTACAAAAAAATAGATACATGAACACTGCTGTCTTTTAAATTCCAAAATGACCCAAAATTATCAGTTTTCCACAGAAATCAATTACTTTTAAACACACTTGGTATATATCTTGTAAGATTTCCTTAAACATTCAGTAGACAGTTATACAGTAATAATTTGACTAGTGCATAATTTTAGTAGAGCTGGAATTCAGTAACCCACAAAAACAATAACTAAACACAGTAATGCACAAAATATAATCGGGCAGTGACTTTTTGGAGATATGGTAAAGTTCAGCTGGAACCTTATCTTTCAGAGCTCTTACACAACAGTTCAAAGTTACACAACATTTAAAATACTTAGGCCTGGAATGTAGTGTTCTGTCAAATTTTCAGCACAGCAGACTATTGTAGTTTCATTTAAAAAACCCAAGATCAACATTTAAAATTTTGTTTGCTAAATCACAAATCCTGTATCAACAAGCAACAGGTAGAAGATCTACAGGCAAACATGACGGGCAATGCAGTTGTTTGTAACAAGCCAACCTTTAATGACAATCCCTTTGAAAACATTTTATTAAAAATTTATTTAACACTCAGTTAATTATAGCTCATACATTCCTAGGTTTCATAAGACAAACTGAAGTAGTCCTACAGTACCTGAGGGTGAACAGCTAGCCCCAGTCCTCTCTTGTCTGCAACAATGATTGTGATGATAGTTTTCAAAATGGTGGCTAGGAAAGTATTGACTCCAAAAACCAAGGCACACAGTTCTTTTGTGAGGGAGGAAGCAATCTGAAAACTAAAGAGTTAAGAGAAAATGTGGTATCAAGACACTTTTGATACGTTTAAATAAAGCATGCTTATTTTTCTGTTCTTTGAAGGTCACAATTTAGTGCTTTTACGTTCCATATTTTTAGTTAGCGTCAAAGAGATAATTGATTCTAGGATTGCGAAAAATGTTGTACATGCCAAACAACCCCCCAAGTCTTACTGCTGTTCCAAATCAAATCTAAATGTTTATATTTAACTTGTAGAGTCTCATGTTAAACAGTAACCAAAATGCTTGCCCAAATTCTAAGGCTGTTGTTAAGTATAACTTTCATTAGTATGTACAGTGCCTATACGCAATTCAATCTACTGTACTTAACTCTGCCTTCAACATCTGTCAATAGGGAATATTTTTCATTAGTTACTTCTGCACTCTCAACAATGTTCTGTCTTGAGTTTGTTATATAGTATGTCATTTTTTATTTTCCAATGCCTTTACTGAAGCCAAGTTAATCTGTATAAAGTAAGTGCCACATACAAATAAATTGTACACAGAAGTATCATATCTACAGTAACTTGAACAAAGCTAAGTAAAGAAATCAATATGAAGCTGGAGACCCATCACAACCTGCAGAAATCAGAAATAATCGACAGTGTAAAATACAGAAGTGACATCACAGCACATGAGGACCACATGATTAAACAACGAAAGAAATGTGACTTTCAAGATAAATGTGAGGAAATCAATGGCATTGTCTTATTAGAAGTCATGAGAGATCTGTAAAATGCCTGGAATACAGTATGTTGCTGGAAGGTATTGTGTCAGTATCAAAAACCTCCTGATGCTCTGATAGAACCACTCTAAACAGGATAATGAATTGATAACAGAAATAATTAGATACATTATTTATCTAAAAAGATAAATTCAATTAGATTACTGCACATGTATTATAAAATACTGCAAATAGAAAAGGAATAAAATATTTTGTATTATTAACAGTAAATTCTAATCTAATTCAAATGTGTTGAAAACACTCACATTGCAATAGGAACAAGGAACTGGTAGAAACTTCTGAAGAGGGCATATGCCACGTAGCACACCCAGATTTCTGATGTGGTGGTCATTAACAACAGCAAGGCAGCCTGAATGCCAGTTATAATGCCAATCACAAGCTCAGACCACAGGGACCAGCGGATTTTCACAAAGCCAGCGATGAATGATGCTATAGCCCCTGCCAAAGAAAACATGCTAACATAAAACAGTGAAAACTGAAGGTAAAATTTTAAAAATAATATAAAAAATATGTAATAAGAAAATGAATTTGTCAATAAACCAGTTTTGTTATCTTATCATTTGATCCAGTTCAAAGCAATACAATTTCACAAAATAGCTATCAACATGGAAAAATGAAATCAACACCCCTCACAACAGCAGCTGGAGTAAGATGAAAAATGAATGCACTGCAAAAAAAAAAGATTTAACATGATTCTGAAGAATCTGCTTCAGAACAAAATAATCCCAGGCTTCAAAACTCATGCTGCTTACTAGTTTCAAATCACTAGCATATGTACATTTTCAACGGTAAAATTAGTCTTCTGAAGATTTCAGTCATGTATAACTATAACTACATTTTGATAACAAGAACAAAAAGAGCGCGTCAGTTTTAAGCCCTAGCGTTCTGACCAAGTTGTATCCTGCCTTGTGGCTGTTGCTTTTTTGGATAGGGTTCCAGCTCCCCTGCAACCCTGAATTGGACAAAGTGGCTAGAAAATGAATGGTTGGATGGAAGTTACCATGTCAGTATGGGGAAAGGTAAATAAACCGACTTTATACAGTACATAACAATAGGACACAAGTCTGCGTTTTAATAATAAAGGAAAGTGTTCCTTTAGTTCAACACCCTTCAACAGGCAGTTGCCCTATCCTCCTGGTATGCTACCATTGCTCAGTTACACCTGTCTGAGTTGCACAACAACTGTTGTCTCTTTTGTAAGTCAACTAAGTGAGACTGTACCAAATGACTTAATTAAATAAATCAAATCGCAGCTCTATAAATTGAATGTGTGTGTGTGTGCTTTCGGCTTCTGGGATATTTTCTGCGACATTGCTGCAACACCTACCAGGAATAAGGCTTTGTGATTATGGATGAAAGCCAAACCTTACACTGCCAGTTTAACAGCTTTAAGAAAATAAGCTTTCAACAGCACTTAATCAAATGGTAAGATTGTTAAAAGCATGCTTTTGTTTCTTGAAAAGTCTTACCGTGCCTCTTAAAGAGCTGAATGCTAGGAAATGACAATAATGTACACAGAAGACCTACACTGTTTTTGCTGTTTTTTGTATACAGTTGTTTTGTATTCATTTCGACTTTCTGCACTGGGACTGGCTGAACTGAATGAAAAGCATGACGACTGTATGTGCAATTTAAGAATAATGAATAGCGTTATGTAAGAATAATGAAAGGTGTTCATGTTGGCACTCCTCTTCTTGCTCTCACAATGCATTATTGGCAACGTTTTGAGTATCAATTCATTTTGAAACACTTTTGTTAAGGTACACAACATTATAGCACCATAAAATGTGAATGTATACTCGTTGATTTGACCATTCAAGATTTTGTTCAATTAACCTTTGCCTTACTACACGGTAAGTGATATTCTAATTGTTGCATATAACGATTTATTTACACGTCATACAAGTATATGTATTCTTGTAAGTCTAAACTATCGAAACTTGAAATTTTGATACTTTATGATTGTATCTTACCAACGTTAGGTACAAAAACACTGTTTAATCAGATGTACAGTTGTGTTAAACATACAACTGTGAGATATTATATTTTGAGATGAATGCTGAGATGTCATATTTATACTTAATGTCTCTGACAATACAAATGATCTTAATGTTCCCAAAACACTTCACTTTCACTTACCAAGAAGAGTAGAAGCTGCATCCACTCCACCATTATACACTCGTCTGTTTTCATCAGGTGGGTAGACTTCATTCCACAAAATATGTACATAGTACACCATCAGATAATAACCTGCTGAGTTGAAGATCCACCAGAGGCTCCAGAGCCTCAGCTGGGGTAACTTTACCAAGTTCAAGAGTTCCTTCAGCATCTGGAAAAATACAGAGTTCCTCCAGGCTGACAATGGCTGAGCTTGGGTGGGCGAGGGACTATCTGGATTAATCTTGTCCAACTCAGTGGAAGCTGCCTCCTCTTGTTTAGCCCTGTTAAAAAACAGGCTACGTTTGGGCCATGGCAAGCAAATGGAAAGGCCAAAGCTGAAAGTAACAAAGCCCAGGGAGATCTTGCTGAGAGAGGAGTACGTGACACCACCCAATGAGAAACAGAGCTGGCCCAGAACTGAGCTGGTGAACACTCCCATGAGTACAGAAGACCGTGAGTAGCTGGCCACTTTCTGATAGAAGGCAGGTGTAACAAGGGAGAAAATATAGGAGGAATAGGCCACCCGTGCTGCCATGGTGATGCCGTAGAAGAACTCCATGAACTGCATCTCAAGCAGAGTTGTGCCGAACAGCAAGATGAGCCAGATGGAGATGTAACTGAGGCTCTGCAGAATAAGGACTGGCTTGTAGCGCAGATAGTCTGTCAGCAAGAACACTGGCACCAGGACTACCATGTAGGCATAGGAGAGGACTGGAGTGATCTCATTGGTCACCTGTAGTACAACACAAAGAGGACATAATGAGATAGACCATGACAGCATGCTTTGACTATTCACAAGGAAACAGTGGGACTGGGACTGCAATGGCAAGAGCAATATAAAAGAGCATTAATTCAAGGTTCATGAATACATAAACTACAAGGTTCATGAATTCAACATTCACAAGGATTCTCCTGAAGCTATTAAGATATAAAATGACTAGAGTAATGAAAGCTTAAATTCATTCATTCAAATACATGTGAAGCTTTATCACTCTGTGATTTCTATAGCATATTTAGCTGGATGTTTTAACCACTGCTTACTACATCATTTAACGGCACCTTCATATTTAAGGGAAATGTTGCCTTTGCTTTAATGTGTGTGCAAATACAAGATCATTTAAAAAAGTTACTTCTAAGAATCAGAACTTAGTTAATTTTAGTTTGCCTTTTTTTTTTTACATTAACTGCATGTGACAGGGTGTTATCTGCTATTATGAAGGCAAAGAAGTGAATAAAGGTGAAGCACAATTTTTTAAAAGTGTTTATTATTGTAATATCCCACCAAGCAATATACTAAATGTAGCTGTAAGGCATTTTGTAAGACAATCTCTACTACTTTTATAAACCACTGAATACAATATATATCGAAAGGACACTGAATGGGTTTAAGGTATCTTAAATTAACTCCCTTTAAAATTATTCCTTCAATAATTGCAAATGATGTTGAATTCTGTTGTAATAATCCTGGATAGAACATCCAACAGGTGCTGTAAAAGGTTGTTTTATACTTAATATCTGGCTTCAAATCTAGGTCACTGCATTCTTTTAAACAGCTCTTACCAAGCAACAGAACTAGAACGCAGCAGGAAATATCGACAAAGAATTCATGTCTTCTGGCTGCTGTTTTGGCACTGGAAGCTCACATCATTGACAGCAATAAAACACACAATGCAAAAATTAAACTAAATATTTAAATTTACCATTGCCTTCCGTAGTCTGAATAACTTAGAGCCAAAGCTGTCATTGCAGACATACCAGTCAATAAAGATTTTAAACAAAACGCAGTGGAGGGTGTTAATTTTTCTTCTAAAGCTCAGTATATACTAAAATGTAATGAGATAAAACCTTCTACATTTGATACTTAGACCACATAGACCAAAAGCAGATATAAGATATCACTCAAGTCTTTTGACGTGTAAAACTTACCAAATATTATGAATAGACCAACAATGATCTTCAACAGCAAAGGATTTTTTCCTGTTTTTATCCAACAAATATCTGACATGATAATTGGGTTTAACTGGTGAGACGTATCGACTGATTAAGGTATTTATCAATTGATTCTTAAGAAAATGCAACAAAATATAGAATTTATGTAAAAAATATAACAGTTCACATTCTGTTTTTCAGTATATTGACACAATGAATGGCAATATAAATGGTAAGAAATGTAAGCCTATTTGACTTGCTTTGACAGGCACACAGGTTTCAAACACACTGCAGCAATGGCACAGTAAAACAAAGAGATGGAAAAGGCACTGCAAAAGATGCAGTCTGGGTACATTGAACAGCTGTGACTAGAACCCAGCATCCATACCAACTGGCAAGAAGGATCCATGACCACTTAACCCAGGAGGAAAAGCCTGAGTGATCACATGGAAGAAGTACTAGGTACAGATGCTACAATACAGCCCCACTAAGGTGTAAGATCCACTGAGGTTTGTATAAGGGAAGTGTCCTGTTTTTTTTAGTGGTGTGATTGCATGAGAAAACACAGGACAACTTTAGGAATCAACCTATTGTCTTCTACTATAATCTCACTACACAATTATTTCAAAGGCACATACTGTAAAGCGCTGATCACTTGCGAGTTTTACCCAACTTCCAGTTACCACAGGACCCATACCACATGTGACTTCTGAACTTTCTTATTGGAAACCTTTTTAAGAAATGCGCCAAAACACACAAAATAAACTTAACTATTCCTTTAACTCTTCTGATGTCTTGAATAATAAATTAGAGAATCATGTGTTGTACAACTATTGGTATATATATGGTATGTTCACCCTAATTCTATGGTATAACAACTAGGTTTTATTCAAAAGTCAAGGAGACACCTTTTTTAATCTATCCCTCAAATATATATATTTTTCTGAATTTGCAGATCACAGTTTATCACCAGGTACAACCAAAGACTAAATCTGTTTACTAGGGAATAAAATGTCTGATAATCTGTGAATGTTACACAAGACAAGACTTCAGTTCCCTGAGGTTTAGATACAGGTATAACAAGACTCTAAATACTTTCAAAACTACAATCACGAGGGAAAGGGCAAAGGTGCTGTTAACCTCATGGTGATGGTGAAAAAGAAATAAATTACAGCTAAGATGGTTACAACAATATTACCCTAGTCAGGAGGAAACTGAACTTTCACCCCATTCTATGAGCATACAGTCCTCCAGCTGACACAGTATTATTAAAGCTGCAGTATTATAAAAGCTGTTCTTTAACTGTGAATATATTAAGTAGTTATTTATGGCAAATTGATGGCAATTTCTTTATTATGCTACAGTAGGTCTGTTTCATTTCTGTCTGTCTTTTAGAGATGTTAATTTTATTCACAACTAAATTTGCTTAAACAAATAAACCCCCTGCTATTTTAAATACAGGGTTGGTCAAAATGTTGTCAACCTTAATATACAGCATAACATATCATTCCTAAGGGTTCACAAACTTTTTCTCACAGCTGTAAATCAAACCGGTAATTTAATTTCAGACGAGTAGCCTTATAAACTACTGGATGGGACCATACACAGATCAGGCTAGGCTATACAAGAAAAGCATACTTAAGGTCCCAGAAAATAATGCATTCAGTTGGTGGAAGAAATGAACACTCCAGTTCTGCTTTTACGATACAGTCTAGTGCTGGGCGATAATTCAATAACGATAATTATCGCGATATAATTTTCCTCGATATAATTTTAATAAAAGTTCGATAAATGTTTGATATATATGTTTATGCTTTGTGCATGATATGCACATGCGCACAAAATACTGCGCGAGTGCGCATGCATGTTGCAGACCGGGCAGCTAACGTGGTGTTGTTTACCCACACGGTGGTGGCTGACGAGATTGTAGTTAGAGCGGAGAAATGAGCGACACCTAAGCAAATGTAGTGCTGCCAACGACCAGCTCGAAAGGACGATGACATCATCGACAGAAAAGGTCATTCAGCTTCGTTAATTTGGAGATATTTTGGCTTTTTACCATCAGACATAAAACAGAGCACTTTAAACTTTGCAGTCTGTCTGAGCCATCTTCTATGTGTGTTTTATCACACTGCAGTACATAATTTTTCTATTAAGGTATTTATTTTGTAAATTTCACCCATGCATATTTTGACATAAAAAAGACTTGAATACTCTTTACCTCAGATTTGTTTAATGTTTCTGCTGTTTGGCAAGTGTTTGTTGTGTTCTTAAAATAAAGAGTTGTTTAATTTACCAATTAACTGTATGGATTCTTCAACTTTCACTCAGGAGAAAAAATCTGCCTTTAAACTTGAAAGAAATAAAGATTTGACATTTATCGTGATAATTATCGATATTGGCCGATATGAACATTTTTATCGTGATGGTTTTGGCCATATCACCCAGCCCTAATACAGTCTAAGAAAAATTAAAAGCCATTTTTTCTTGTATAAAACTATTACAGCTGATTGTTTTTTTAGCATTGTTTGGTGGTTCAAATACACTAAAGGAAATAATGTAAGAGACTGAAAGTTTAAAGTTTCTTTAGGTATAGACATGGCATTTATTCAAATTTCCTAAACTATGGCTAATGTTAAAATGAATAATTATTTTATTGAAACAAAATAATTGTTTCTGAAACCACCAGAATTCCTAAAAACTACCATTTTCATTTAATTTTATTTAATGGTAAAGAAAGCAAATACAAAATCAAGTTTTGGAATGCATTTTCATTTGGACAATCACTTACAGTATCCACACAACACAGGAGGAAGGAAATTGTTCCTCACTAGAGGTCTTGCAGGTCTTGTATTTACTGCATATCTCAACACCTGTGCAAAACCCAGAAGCCATATTTAATGTGCGGGATTCAGAAAATTGTTGGTACAATGGAGTAACAAAGCTCAAATGGAATGGAAGCCCTGTGTCCCTTTTTCAGTTCCACTGAAAAAAAAACAGTAAAAGAAAATAATTCCCCCTTACCTGCTGTTTGGTGAAATTCTTCTCTTCACTCAGGAGAAGGGGGGTGATGAAGGGCTCTCCTGGTTTTAACATAGACATGAAACCATAGAAACACAGGAAGACGACCGACCAGTTCCAGATACGAGGCTCCTTAACCCGCGCTGAAGGAGGGTCCCCATTCTGCTCTTCAACATCTGCCATTGCGTCAGCTGCAGCCAAGTATCTCCAATGCTTTCTTTCCTTTCGTCTGATGTTTTAGGTCATTTTGACTGATGAACAGTTCTGCAATGTAGAAGAAAGTAAAATGGACAGTGGAATACAGTGTTGTTATACACACACAACACCCTCACCGACAGAAATACAAATCTGACTTTTGGCATAAAATGATTTTTTAACAGGGATTAGAGCTCTTTTCAAAAGAACCTCTGTCTTCTAAAATACCTATGTTCTTGTTTCAATCCCTCTAAAAGTATAAGAAAGTCAGTTCTTCTCTGCTGCTTTTTAAAAGTAAATGACATAAAACTTACGTTTTCAAAATTTAAACCCCATACAACAGCAACATTAACAATTACTTAAAGAGCAGGATAAGACAATGCTGTATCCAGCAATCAAAGAAACTAACATTCTGTACTGACTAACCTGTGGTTAAAGTGCTATATTATGCAAAAAATACGAAATGGTCTCTAGGACGAAGGTGTTGACCTTTGGTCATTTTTTACCTGTGTGATGATGTCAGCAGACAATACTGCTTTTTGAGATGTTACCTGTTAAGAGAACAAAACAAAAATTAGGCAGGCATTCCACTTATTATTTTAGGTCAATGTCAAACATTGGTTCAAAATACAATTTCACATCTACTACACAGCCTCAGAACACTTTGATTTCTCAGCTCCGCTGGCATTCAGGACTTACTGTAAGCCCTTTCTGTCATGACCAACTTACCTTTCCACAATCCAGAGGCACCATACCAGTGTTCTGCAGTATTGAGACATCAGTGGTTTGTTTTTTCATGCATATATTAAGACTAATCCTCAATTACATATCTCTGTATATTGTACTACCTACTGATTATACTTCATAATATGTAAAGTTAGATGCAAAGATCTGTTTTCTTAATGCTAAACCATACTAGACCTTCAAAAGTTATTATTCAATAACCAAAAGCAACATTTCAACTTTCATTCCAAATTTCATTATGCAATTTAAAAAATAAGTGTTCATTGTGAAATATCTTCAATAATATCAATGGCAGATGACTGTCATAACTGTCTACATTATCTTCACAGTGTGACTGAAATATTTTATGAAGGACAAATTAATGTTTCGAAAAAGGGTATGAATTAACAATGTCGGTGTAACCAATATGATATGTGTATTTTATCAGTAGTAATGGTTCTTTTAATTACAAAATTTAATTTCCATAAGTGTACTGGGAACCCAGTTACACATTTCTACACAATACAGCAGTCTGTTAAACACTGGCAAGGTTTTTTCAAGTCAATAGCACAAAATCTCTTCAAAGCTTACAGAGCACTAACAGAGATTGGAGGATTATTATGTTTATTGCAGGGGGTAGATATGAAAAGGCACATTCCACTAAATCCCTATTCATTCCTACTGATGTATTCCATTATATGTGAAAATATTTGATCCTTAAATGAGATGTTAAAATGAGGTCCTGACTACTTAGTCAGATACCAGTGCACTCTTAATAAGGCAACAGTTGTTAATTCCAGTGTCCTATCTCAATTCCACGCTGGTCTTGCACAATCTGTCCTCCCTAAATTTCACCTCTAATTCAACTGGAGAAGTAATTTCTCAGTTCTTCACCCATACAGAACTATATAGTATAGTGGGGTCGCCCACACACAGGCATCAATGCCTTACCCAAGTGTTTGTTGCCACCACTTCAGTCTTGGATGATGTGGGTCCCTTTATATGTAAAGTACATTGGAGTCCTTTGAGATGAGAAGAGCTATAGAAATTCAACTAATAAATATCATCCAACAGAACATGAGTTGTGTAAATTAATACTACGTCAAATAAAACTTCAACAGGCTTTAAATAATATGCATGTTTGTGCTTTCATACATAGGCTATTAGGATAAACAATGGCTGTAATTCTTATTTTAATAAAAACCTTTCATCATTCAAATGTCCTTGCAATGCATGAGCTGTTCCACTGCAAATGAATGGAACAGTAGAGCACATGACTAAACACTGAACAACCACTCCATCACTTCATTGCCATTTAATAAGCATTTGATAAACAGGTTCAGAAATAAAAATATTCAGACTTTGGATATTGATAAAATGGAGCTTATAACAAACATCTGGGAGGACTTACGGCAAGCTAGATCCCCTTTACCTCCGCTACTCTAATGACTCCACAAAGTCACTACCTGAAAGGCCCTGAAACCACTAGATGACCCTCTCTTCCATGTTTTGGTTTTACTGCATCACTGCTCGATCCCCAGTCTACCTTTGTGGCTGCCCCTTGGTTAACTCCACAGTATGCATGGTGGTCCACTCAGCCAAGTGATTAAACCAAGGTTTCCAAAGCATAACTTCTCATTAACAATTCCATTCCAAAAACATTTTCTTATCATTTCTTTTTAATCCTCACGAAATGATTTTGATGTCCTTTTGATTAACAGATTATTCAGAACCGTGAAACACTCAAGTCAGTATGAGTGATGTGTAAGCACTACCTTAGCTCACTCGTAAGAGAAATGATTAGCCACCGATGATGAGGTCATTTCACTTGGTAAATGTCAACGGAAAAATCAAAAAAGAAAAACACAGAAAAGAACCAGTATATCATTCTTAACAAGAGAGCAATGCCTTCAAGCCACTGGAATGTTGGAGGATGGAGTAAGTCAGTGGACTGTCACTTGATGTCTGCACTGGGATGAGCTAGGAGGACAATGTGTGGCATAGAGAACTTAGAGACCAGTGAACAGACGTTTATGCATGAATAGCACAGAGTCCTTCAAGACACTAACTGTAGCTTGCTGCAAAGCATACTTGTGTTGCTTGCAATGGTAGACACATGCTTCTAGTCTGAAACTTTCATAGTACATCACCTGCTGAAGATAAATGTTAATGTTTAATGAATTTACCTATGTAAAGTGTTTCATTAAATATCAGCATAGCTGCTTTAAAAAATATTTCCTTATTAAACCTTTGCAAAGTTCTTGCAGTTAATGTTTATAGAATATTTCTATTAAAAGCTATACTCTTTTTTATCTTAACAGAGCCTTTTTAACAGATCTCACTGTAAGTTAAATTATACAACAACATTATCGGACCATTAATAAGTAGTGTAGAAACAATTATGGTCTGTGCATTTAAACATTTTTGTACGTGGCGATCGCAGGCTTCCAAAGTCCACCACGTAAAGTAAAACTCAATATTAACCTTTGGATGTAGGCTACATTAAATACGTCTAATAATAAAACCAAATAAAACTATAAAACTTCCGAATACTAATTCTTAAGTGAGAAAATACTTTCACCGTAGGCCAAAGAGCTAAAAAGAGCTGCACTGCAAGTGCAGAGACCCATTATCATGCAAGCCTCACAAAACACAAGTGGTTCAAAGGTCGTACATTGCAAACGATTTAGCTGCTACTGTATGTTTTGTGAAATTAAATAAATGTAGTACTAATTACAATACGATGACATATTCTGCATTCCCCACAAGACAAATTGCCATGCTTCTCATTTTAAAAATATATTAATTGTTCGATTCAGACACCTTAAAATCCTTCAAATGATTTTCTGTTTATTTTTCAAGTTAGATTTAATACGCCACATTCTTACAATTGTTGTAACAGCCTTTTCATTTACAGATGATTCCTGATATCCGCCAGTACAGAAAGATTGAGCTTATATACTGTAGCACGTGGCTGTTGGACATTTCTTAAAGGTCCCAAAATATGGTAAATAAATAATTACCTATTCCTGCCCTCACTGAAAGTGTCCCACCGATGACGGTCATACCATTACCCAGTCTAAAATGCACCTTTCCATTCGGACCCCTGAAGAACTGTAAACCACGTCGTTTAGCTGAAGCTCTAGAGGTTAGCGTATGTGGCGTAAAGCAGATGAAAAAACTACAAGTTCAATGTCGCAGTGCGAACCGAAAGGAGAATCGCTTCGATATGATTGAACCCAGCTGCGCTTTCACAATTTAATTTCCTAGTTGCGATTTCCCAAAAAATATTATTGTCATTTCGTGTATTTCAGATACCGATCACAAATTGCGGAGAAAGACGTTCTACTCGTTGTAAATACTCCGATTTGAGTTCTGGGAAATGTCGTTTTACTAATTTCAATCACGTGTGTCTTACAGCCTATCCGCGCTCGTTAAAATGGAAATTAAATGGTTCACTTATTTTTAAAGTTTGGAAATCAACTACTAGAACCATATTAAAACTTGACAGAATTTGAAGGCAGGCACTAGACCCCACTTTGTATTTACCTACTTATATTTTCCCTAACGTTCATACAACAACTTTCTGTTTCACTTCTAAACGACAATTACAAAAGCATATTACATTCTAGAGCGTAAGGAGGGCATATACCACTTATAATCAGAAATGTTTATTGGTTGTTTGCCCACGGGCAAATCACTCGTCACAGCTTCTTTTATCGTACAGTAGATGACCAGTGTTAGAATTCAGATGGATCCTGAATTTCTCCCTATACCAAGGCATAGATGTCAAAACATAGTTTGCTCAATATCTCCATCATGTGGCATAAAAGTGTATGGAAGTACGTTTATTTAACTACTGTGACTTCCTAGGCCTTATAATAGTATTGGAAATAACTCATATGAAGAAGAAACTTCTCTGAAAACATTTACTTAAACATATTTTGTTTTTCCGAATTTTTAATATGACGATATAAGGGCATAATAATAGTTACAAATGAAAATAGTACATTCGGCCCATCTACGGTGTTGTGATAGTAGCAAATTGAAATGTATCTAGCATTTTAAAAACACCACACCGATTTTTTGTTCATTTTTTCTTTAAAGTATTATTTTACTCCTGTTCTATTAATGACATATGTGATTATCCAAATTCTTAGTTATTTATTAAACAATTTATATGAAAACTATATATGAACCTTAGCAAAAGATTATATTTCTTCTAGAACTTCTATCACACCATTGATTTGTACATTACTGACCACTAAGTTGGTATAATAATTTAATTATAACCAAATATTATCATTACCAATATTACTTGGAAGTTTGTTCTGTGTTCAATCAATCAAGGAAACATGCTGGTTTATACACCATCTAAAAATTTGAACAGAACATTACTGGCTTCAGAAGCCCCGATCACAGAAGACTGGCTTCTTCATAAAAGCAAAGCACTATTATGAATTGTCCACTATAAAGACAACGGCTTTTATATGCTATATCAGTGTTTAGATTAGGCACATAATTGGGAAAAGCATGAGACAGCATTTAGGTAAAACTTACTATAACTATAACTGTAATATATTATTTTAAATATATCTTTATAAGTGCTCCATTAAGAGAATGATATTCAACACCAATGAGATTTGTACAATATTCTGTTTTGTATTCCATTTAAAATCACAAATTCATTTTATTGTTAATCTTTATCCAATAAACTGTTTTGATTTGTGCTGTTTTTTTAAATCAGCTCAATACCTGTTGTTGGATCATTTTATAAATATTTGATATATTTTCAAATAAATATCATATTGTCTATATATAAAAATAATATTTTATAGAAGTATTTCTATGAATCTATTTACAGTATATATATATTTTTCCATTAAAGAAACTTTAAATTCTTACAACATATTTTACAAATGGTTTCTGAAATGTTTATATTAATTAATATAAAATTAACTTTTAGAAGCAGCTACTGTATATGATCATGGATGTTTTTAAAATATTTTGTAAATGTTTCTGCATTAACCCAGCCTGCTGAAGTAATTGTTTTGTAGTAAATCTAAAAAGATATGAGTAGCACCATCATCAAATCTACAGTCAAACAGTACCAGTTTCACGTGATATCTTCATATATTTTGGCTGTGAATAACATTTTTTCTCTTCCTGCACCGTTGCAGGCTCTTTCTGACATTTAAGTCATACCTATTAAATATTTTATAAGGTGGTAAGCATGTACAGTCTCTCAGCTGGCATAGAACAGCTAGCCTTCTGCCATCAGATTAGAACAGCAGTTTGAATTCTGACCTGAAAATTGTTATGATATCTTGCATATGTTGTATTTTTGTAAATACTATACAGTACATCCTTAAAAAAATTTAAATCCCATCCATTTTGAAATCTACCATCAAAAGGAATGCTGCTTACCTACTGTATATAGTGTGTAAGGTGTATCATTTTTCATTCTTTATATCAGTTCACATAGATACACTTCAGTTCACAAAGCTGTCCCTCTAAATTCAGATGTATTATTCCTCATATCTCTGTTTTCTTGTTTCCAGCTAGTTTAGCATTTTTTGTACATTTCAGAAACCATTTTTAAGTATTTAGAGATACATAAAAGTCACAGTCTACAGTAACACTTTTAGGGCTGTGAAGGCACTGGGTATAGAATTTTGCAACCTCACTTCAACTAAAACAATGAAAAAAAATAGTCTCAGTCGCACTGATAATCTTTCACAAAGTATTGCTGTGGAATATAAATTCTATATTATTGTAGTGTGCTACAAAGCAGCTTCAAAGTTAACTTTGGACTTTACCTTGTACCGTTCCTACCCTCTCCTCTTTGTATTCCTTTTGTAAAATGTGTACCTATGGCTGCCCTCAGTTCGTGGTGGACTAGTAGGTGACACTCTTACACCTGGACAGAGTTTCTGGACCAGTGCCTCAGTACTGGAGGGAACACAGTGCTGTGCTGTGGACTGTGGAAGGATACTAGAACATCTGGCAGAATCAAAATTAAATCCTACATTTTCATTCAAGGATTGTATATGGGCAATGGTCAATGCCCGATGTCCTGTTTATCTCTGATTAATATCTGATATTTCTTCATTTGGAAAAAGACTCATCGGATGATATTACTGTAGTGCGAAATGGGTTCTAAACTGAAGTGTAATTAGTTTTGTCATGAGGAATGTCCCATGATTGTACAGTCCGGTTTAGGAGAGAGGGTTCTTGTACGTTATGATTCTCTATGATGACACATCATAGATGTCTCTATGATGTTTGAGGTTGGCCGTTACTTAGCAGATTCTCAAGTCTCCATGGATTCATTTTTTCTCCAGCTGGATGAGTAGTCTAACTGACATTTCCTTGCAGTGTCCATGAATTTTTTATGGATTTTTCCTGTCCAGCTCAGAAAATAAGATAAATTAATGTCTGCTTTATGAAATAAAAAGCTTATGAAAAGCTGTCAGGTCTGTGAATTTTTTTAAACATACACAATGTCTTGATAAGGGTATGGACATTATCTGGCTATGCGTAAAACTTCTTTTTTTCAAAGCTGGAGTTCTTTAACAAAATAGAATACTTTGCAGTCTGTACTGTTTGCACAGTCCATGTAAACATGCTTTACTTAAACACATGGGCTGATTTAAAGCTTCTGTGTAACAAAAGAAATGGTTATTTAGGTATTGTTTAATGGTCTTCATTCTCAGCTTTAACTCTATATGTCCCAGTTTTAAATATAATTGCAAATTAATGGGTAGCCCAACCCCCATTAAGTATAAGAACTTTAGGCTATGAGAATATTTAATAAATATAGAGCAAGATTTTAAACTGTTATATACTCATAAATGGTTAATGTTTTCAGTGAAATATATTAATAACTTCCAGAGAATTATCTCATTTGTACTATCTCAATCTATTCTTATAATTATTTTCTATAACAATCTATATCCAGAACATCAAGTTGGTGTTGGGACTTTCATTTTTAATATTTTCAGTAGCAGATGATCAATGGTTATTTCTCATACTGAGAGCTACAGTAGATAAGGTTATTGATCTTCCAAGTATGAAATGATGATAATGATAACTCAACTCTGTCTGTGCGTCCTGAAGTAATTTTATCCTTTATATATTTAAATTCCAGATAGTTTGTCATTATCAGACTCAATTATAGTGTGAGGATAGCAGATATTGTATCGTGTCTAGTATAAAATCAGTCAGAAATGTTATTTAATATAAATATATGGATGTTGATGTTGATTATGAAAGCACAATAAGATATATTCATGGTTTCCCTTTTAACCAGACCAAAATAAAGTGTGTTTGTTCAGATCACTGACTGCTAAAAACCCTTTATACATCTTTATTAACCTTTTTCAGGCAGTATTTCATCAGTTCTACGTCAAAGCATGCAGAGCACTATTATCACTAGTTATTGCACACGGTTAAGTGCTTCTGAATCTAATTACTCTAATGTCTGTAACAGTCTTAAATCACACTTATTGGTTAAGTGCAGCACAGCATGCCTCTCCTTCAGAAAGGAAGCTCCACGCTGCTCCATGAGTAATTATTCCGATTGGATCTAAAGCAATTGCACTTATTGGCTGGGCCACGGCACTGACAACCTCTTCGCTGATTTGCTACCAGAGCCAGTGTTTGGCTGCCTCCCATTGGCCCCCTTGTGAGAGTAGGAGGAGAGTCTTTCCTTTCCTCTCAGTTCTGGACTGCCTGTGTGAGCTCTTTCTTTCCCATTATTTGAATGACTGCAGGTATTGGTGTCTGCCTGTGAGAGTGAAAGAGAGAGAGAAAGAGGAGAGAGGCATCTCATCTCCCCCCTCAGGCTTTCCCTGTCTCCCTGTTCCCTGTCAATCCTTCCTCCCTCCCGGACCAACCCATCTCAAACTGGACCAAACTGAACCTCCCCGGACCCTCCACCCACAATCCTTAGGACCCTCCTTATGTGTTCATTCTGCCTTATCTGCTGATCAGGTAAGACTTCTAAATCTGCCTGCACCACTAAAAGGAAATAAAACTGCACTGAAGACACTGTAGCACTGATTCTTTCCTATTTCCATTACAAAAAGCTGCTCTCTTTCCATGGGAGAAAAGGAGCTCCTACAAGCTGGTCCCTCACAGGGGTGCTAGCAGTAAAAGTGAGGAATTCAAAAGAGGTCATGTTTTCTTTGCCACTCAGTTTAGAAAAGAGTGAAATATGTATTTTTAAGAACAACATTTGGTTTTAATGGGAGCAATTGGTTTGAATTAAAAAAAATATATATTTCTTTTGATCTTGTCCACCATGGTAGTGAATGAAGGGTACTGTATTTTATTTGTATTGTTACAGTATTTGCACACAAGTCTTGAAAATACAGATGAAAATGTTATCAGCCTGTACCTGATGTTCTTAAGTGCATCGAAACAAAATGCATGTGTCAGCACCAAAGTAATTATTACAGTGTGTTTACATTAGCTCGTTGAACAAATTATTTAAAAAAAAAATCAATACTTTTTTAATTCAATTTTATTATATCATTATCTGAAGAGAATCTTTTCTTTATGGAAAACAATCTGTGGAAGGTAGAGCACATTTACATGACTATGGGGCTTTGTACAGTTAAAGTAATTGTAATCATCATTACAGGTTGTTGATACTGTATCTGTGAATTCACCTTAAAACCTCAAACTTTAATATATTTATTAGAAAAAAAGCTTTTTTTGTTGTTTGGGACTTTTGGGAATCTGACCTTTTTAGTTATGGTTTTCACAGTCTACATACCATTTTCATCTTCACTTTGCACACACTACAGTATATGTGCTTCGGTTTTTACATTTAGAAGCTCTTTCGGTCTTTATTTAAAAGCTATCTATCCATATTGAATATCTCAGTGAGTTCCCTGAGGTGTGCAGGATGTCCTTGTTTTCACTCCAAGCTCCCAATGTACTAAAATAATATATTTTAGGTATAGTTGTTGCTTTTTCTAGGCCTTTTAAAATTCACAATTTAGAGATCACACTTGTTTTAAGGGTAAAAGTGTAACTTTTCTCCCAGTTAAAAAAAAAAAACCATTGGACCATTTAAGTAATTTCAAGACTTTAATAAAAAGCCATTTACTGTAAATGTTAAAACAAATTAAATTTTGATGAAAAAATTACATATGTTCAGTAATTTACATACTGTGCATTTTGCAGAAGAAGATAAAGAGCCTGGTGGAATTTATGTTGGGAGAAAATAATTTGTTATATTGGGCCATTTCATAGAGAGGTGTGTTATAATTTGTTGTTCCCTTGTTGATCCTGGAAAAGGAAATGATCTAAAGATAGGAAGTCTCTATAAACACAGTACAGGAAATATTTAGGCAGGATTGGCCGTGGTTTCTAGTACTGTTGAAGCCTTATTACTATGTCCTCCTGTCTCTATACTGAGCTTCATCTAGTTAGTGGTTTTCATACCTTTAGACAAGAGCTGAATCAAATGTTTTGAGCATTAGATTAGACCTTGATGTGTTACCCATTTATTGAAAATAACATGTCCAATACTCTGTGTTGAGTTTCTATTGGGCAGAATGTGAGTTGCTCTTTTTATTAGCAGATGGGCCAAAGTTTTGATTTATTCTGGATTTTTCTTGTTTTCTTGTCAGTGTTAGAACAGCTGCTTGGGAGGGTTTATTGCTGCATTTAAAGCACAGGTACTATACTGTAAATTATTTTGATTGGGTTGTGTTGTAGCAGGGTGGCATAGTAGCACGTGGTTAGGATTTTTATGTTGCAGCGCTGGGTCCCTGGGTTCAATTTCTGGAGTGCTATCTGCACGAAGATTGTGTTCTCCACATGTTCGCATGGGTTTCCCTTGTGTGCTGCAGTTTCCTCCCACAGTCCAAAGACATTCTGGTGGATTAATTGGCTTCTGGGATAATTGGCCCTTGTGTGAGTGTTTGCATGTTCGTGTCTGTGTGTGCCCTGTGATGGACTGGCTTCCAGGGTGTATCCTGTTTTGTGCCTGTTGCTTGCTTGGATAGGCTCTGGCTCCCCTGACACCCTATAGTGTATTGAATAAAGTGGTTAGAGAATGGATGGATAGCTGTATAATATGTTGCAGTAAGTATCTTCTAGTTCTAGTTCAATAATTAAGCGAAAATTGTGCATAAATATTGTAGTATTTTCATGAGACAGCTAAACATAATGTGAAAATATGAATGTGTTCCATAATTCCTCTCCAGTATTAGCTGGTGATTCGTTTCTTTTAAACAATGTTAATTGGTAAAGCATGTTTGCAGATATCATTTAAAAGTACTAGTCCTCACCAATCAGCATCACTCTCTGCTGTCAAACAATAACGTCATGGAGCTGTACAGTACGTGTCTTTTAAAGATACAGCATGTCACTTCAATCTAATTGGGGGCAAATGATTACTACTGTACAGTATACAAAAGTAAAAACTGCATGACCAAATCTTTGTAAATGTACAGTGTAGCACAGGAGTAGGTAGCTCCAGCACTCAAGAGTTACAGCATTCTGTGGTCTTCATTCCACCTTTGATCTTAGTAATGTAACTGAATTTGTGATTTGGATAAGACAAATCACCATTTTTTTATTTTTAGATCTTAATCACTTGCTAGTTTTAAACTACTTCTAAAACCTGCTAAACAGTGGGCTTAGAATGGAGTGGTCATTCAAGAACCGTACTCCTGTTTTTCTGAGTATATCATTAAATACACTTTACAGACAAGAACAGGAAAATATGTTTATCTGGAATCTTAAGTAAATCATATATCATACAGTACAGTATGTGTATTTACGAGCTTTATTGGAAATCAAAAATCCTGTGGCCCTCAAGTGCCATATAAACCCAAAGAAGGCTCCACAGCCCAAATGTTGTGTTTCTTTTCTTCTCTTTTCAGCATGGAATAAACTACTTACCATATTTATCCAAATATAAGCCAAACTTTTTTCCAAATTTCAAGGTGGTACATTTGGCCTGCAGCTTTCAGTATATTTGAATACAAGTAAAATAAATTTGAAGCTGATATGGTTGTTGACATATTTCCCAGAGTGCTGAACAGTGTTGAGCTGTTTGTGCATACAGTACTGTTCCAGTTGTGGTGTTGTAACTGAGTGACAAAAAACTTTTATATTCATTTTTAGTTATCCAAAGTGAACAGGAGTTCTCAGTATACTTTTGCGTTCAAGAAGGAGGTGATCCTGTGTGCTGAACAGCATGGGAAGCATCAGGTTGAAAGGCAGATTGGTGTGGATTTGTGGTCACTGTCAGGGTAGCGTTCTTTCCGGACCCTATGCAGACGACACAATCCCGGGTAGAGTGAGGAAACACGGGGAAACAGGCATGCAAGAGACAGGAATTAATACAGGGGGGCGTGTCCATGGTGTGCTGATGGTCGAGGGAGCTGTGGCCGAGGCAAATAATCCAGAAGAAAGTCCAAGGGGGAATCCAAGCGGAGGCAAAAGTCCAAAACCGGGTGGTCCACACAAGACAAACAAGATTTAAAATCAAGAACCGTGTCAGAACCGGCAAGGGAATGGGAACTAAAACCTTAACAGGGTTTTGGAACTAAAACCTTAACGGGGGCCAGGCGCTTCCAGGTCCTGGACTCGCCTGGTACGGAAACCAATGCAGAGCCCGGAATAGCGTCAGTGTCTGGCTTTTAAGGGGGAACTGAAAAGGGTCTGGAACAGGGAGCAGGTGCGGGAGATGAATAACAAACAAGGAAGGTCTAGAGCGCCCTTAAGAGGAGGGGTTTACGATTGTGACAGTCACAACAGAAATGACAAAGTTTAAAGCCCTCGAGGCAGCTACTGTACAAAGCTTAATGTTCCATCCAGAAAGTCCCTTAGGTGATACAGCATATCAGTTTGGTTAAATCTCATCTATCCAAAAAATCTTTGTATCCAAACCCCTTCCCCATGTTTCTGCCAGATATGAGTATTATTTGCAGTTTATTTTTTAAACTCCTCAATTTTCCTTTGTTTATCAAAAACAAAAATATCTTATTTTCATTTCTCCATTTTCTGTTCAGGAAGATAACTTGTGCTTAGTAAAGTTTATTTTATAAACTTAATAATATCCATCCATACACTTTCTAACCGCGTCTTTCAATACAGGGTCGTCGGGGAGCAGGAGCCTATCATAGCAAGCAATGGGTGCAAGGCAGAGTACACCCTGGAATGGAAGCCAATCCATCACAGGGCACACACAGACACAAACACAGATGTGCACACCAGGGTCAAATTTTCCAGAAGCCAATTAACCTACCAGTATGTTTTCAGAACTGTGAAAGGAAACTGGAGCACCCAGAAGAAACCCAAGCGAACATGGGGAGAACATACAAACTCCACACAGACATCACTAGGTCTGGAATTAAGTCTACAGTCCCAGCGCTTTGAGGCTGCAGTGCTACCCACTGCTCCACTGTGCCACCCAGTAACAGGAATAGTGCCTGATATTTTTACAAGTCTTTCTTTTATATGTGGCACTCTCTCAAAGTGCTTTACAATAAATAAGAAAAAAAGCAAATGTACTCTATAAGAAATATGAATCCATAATTTAATAAATTACATAAAACAGAATTAATAGCTAGTGTATGTATTCCTTGTATGTTGGTATAGACAACAAACATACAAGGAATACATACACTGTGAAAAATGTATCTGCTGTTATTACACTGCTGTTTACTGAAGTAAAAACATGAAAAAAAAGAAAAGGTCATGATTTCATGAGTATTCAAACTCATCGCTGTGGCAAACAGAAATTGTAGTGGACAATATTACCATAGTGAGTTACACAATTAGTTAAGTGGTCTCCATCTGTGTGCAATAATAATGGTTTGCATGATTTCAGAATAAATACAGTACATTCATCTCTGTAATGTTCCTCAGTCAGATAGCGACTTTCAAGCAAAGAGTCAACCATGAAACCAAGAAAGGGTTTTTCAGAATAACTCAGGGATAATGTATAAAAGCATATACTGTAACTG